CCCCAAAACCCCAAAACCCCAAAACCCCAAGACATTTTATATATATTGAAAGATCACTCCACAAGAAAATGGTTTCAAAAAGTCATAAGAAAAGGATTTTCAGAAAACGCAGAACATTTGCAATAAGGATATCAGGTTTCCTCAAACTGTTTGATATTTATGGGAAGAATATTGTGCTCACTTATAATGGGGAGGATAAATACCGAACCCTGATAGGAGGGATAAGTACATTTCATTCGTAATTTTTAGCATCTATTCTAGTCGGCTTTGTAATTATTGCATATGTGATATATCTCACATCTGTAATGTTCAAATAAAGGCAATACAGCATTCACAAAAGCTTCATTTTTGAATGATCTTTACTCAAACGTTGAAATACATAATCCAGCAGACAATAAAAGAACTGTTGATACAGGTCATTCACAATTCGACCTTGCATTCCAGTTTACAGCTGATGGAGCTGACCTTGTCAGTGACCCAACTGCATTCACATTCTTTATCAATCATGTTGAACAAGAATGGGTGACCGAAGATGGAGTTACTTACCCAAAAAGAAATTACACGAATATCGAATTCGAGAAATGTGGTGAAACCCACTTCAGCTATGATAATCTTGATGAAATCAAGAGAATCGGAGTGGACAACTACTACTGCTTCAAACACAAAAACTACTCGATAGGAGGCAGCTTCTATTCGCCTAAGTATCATTACCTAGAGATGAAGCTCCGACGCTGAGTGAGTGGTGCTTCCTCATGCAAGAGTGACTCTGAAATTGAAGCTCTTGTCAAAGCTTCAAGGTTCTCGATGGCCATTGTGAACACAGTAGTAGACCTCAAAGACTACAAGAAACCGGTGCAATACATGATCGACGACGGACTTTTCTGGGAGTTGGTGCCAGACTTCAGAAAGAAAACTGACATTTTCTTGAGAAAGAATGAAGCCTCATTTGAAGATAACTATGTGCAGTTGGGGTTTCCGAAGGAAGAAGAGTTTTACCAGGTGGCAGAGACCAACGACAGATTTGAAAGTGAATCATCAAAAGGAGACATGCTATCGATTTATCTCAGAATTGACAAAATCACAGATACGTATGAACGCCAGATCTACTCCATCGGCGAACTCCTCGGTCAAGCAGGAGGCTTCTATGGCGCCCTCGTTGGCATTGGGTCGGTGTTCCTGTTCATATTCTCAGAAAGGCTGTTTGTCAGTTCAGTGCTTAGGAAGATTTACCAGATAGATTCGTGGCAGGAAAAGGAAAAACTCGACAAGAAATTGAGAGAAAGACATCGTAAGGAGTACAAAAATCAATTCATCCAATATAAACCAGATGGAAGAAAGGTGAAAGTTCCTTATACCCAGTCTGAGAAGTTCCATCACCAAGCTTTTGAAGATATCAAAAGAATGAATTACCTTGAAGCCAACTCTGAAGGCAACCAATTCAAGGAGAATGTTCTCGAGAGGTGAGAACAAAGCATGAGAGAGCGTAAAGTGTTCAAATATGGGTACAAAGATATCTTGCATTACTTGTTCTGATGAGCTTTTTGAAGGAGAAAGAGATCGATGAGGCTTAAGCCAGGATTTAGAGAACACCTTTACTTTGAAATTGGGCAAGAAAAGTTACTAGATGAACTTGATTGAGTCACCATTATTAAGGCTGTCAGACAGCTCAAGTTATTGACAGCGGTTTTGTTGAACAAACGACAGAAATTTTTAATGAAGTTCCAGCGCAACAATGTCATTGACAGTTCGTCCTCTGGCACTTCTGATGAAGGCCAAATGAACATCATCGACCTGATGGCCAGCAAAAACAAATAAGCATGTTGAGATTGTCAACAAGAAGATAAACAAAGTAATCGAGAGTTTCTGAGACAAGCCGTTTCAGGAGATTGACAAGAGAGTCATCAGTGGGATTGTCAAGAAACGATTTTCAGACTCTGACAATGAAAATGAAAACGATCATGATTCAAGAGTAAATATTGGCTCTAGCATACTTGAAGATGAAGGTAGTACCCAACCTACTAACTTATAGAGCAAAAATCAAGTATCTGAACAACCAAGAAAGGAAACTCAGGTATCCCTCTCAAGAACAGGCTAGATACAGATGATTCGTTTGTCCGGTTGCCCAAACTCTTTGGAGAACGTGCTGGGATGACAGGAAAGCTTGAAGAATTTGGAGATGGTAAGTTTATACTTATTAGGTCTAGGAATTCCAATAGAATAATGCATATCTATCCATATTTCAATAAAATAACTGCAGATTGGGGTTTTGGGGTTTTGGGGTTTTGGGGTTTTGGGG